CCCCCCCCCCCAAATGGCTGAAGATGAGAGGAACACAGAAAACAGCAGAACGTAAAAGAAAGAACCATAAAAAAGTGACCCAAGCTGCCTCCTGTTTGAGTAGTTCCCACCCTAGGGGACTTCGCAGGGCCATCATTTTCAGAGGGAGGGGAGGTCACGGGGGTTAGGGGACCCATGCAAGGTAGAGGCTCATCTCCCTGGGAATGTTCACACCTTTTCTGGGGAAGTTCATCGACCCCTCCAACTTCCACAGGGCACAGCAACTTGTCGCTACTTCCTGTGGCTCCTCGGTTGCTGCAGGAAGTGGTGGGGAAACCAGGAGCCCTGGGTGACACTGGGTGAGCTGAAGCTCGCTCTCCTGATCATTAATTATACATCCTGTTGGGTGCTGGAGCTCAGCTGTGTTTTGTGGCAGGACGTTTGTGTTTTGGAAAATACTGGTGTGTTGGAAATAAGGGGGAACACTAAAAGCCACCACTCTCTTCCTCTTCTCCCATTTCTCCGGAAGCCTCCAGATGTTGGGCAAGCTGCTGTCTTTGGAGTGACGGGCTCAGCGATAGAGGTTTCTCCTTACTTGTCAAGGTGGAAAACCTCCCCATTTCCAGAGAAGCCGCCAGGTTAAGCAGCATCCTGACAATGAGATGCTGAGACCATGCCCCTAGCAGTGCACTCCTCTCAACCACCGCTCACCCCTAGAGCCGCCTTCTGCATACACCTCCTGAGAGCCTTAAGCCCTGAAGTTCATTCTTCTTTGCTGAGATTCAGTGTCTGCCCGGAGGGGAAAGATAGCTCGTGGTTGTTCACGTCTAAATGTTCTCTAGACAGAGTGATTTTGGTGAACTATTTAATAGCCTCCTTATTCAAAAGGAACTGGGCAATCTTGATTGCAATGAAAACTCTTTTTCAATGCATCAAAGTAAGTTTTGGTGTTTTTGTGATCCTGGGATTTTGAACAGTCTCTGAAGTCTTTTTACTCTTGGGGGGTACATCAGCGCCACTGCCGTGGCTGTGAATAAATGCTAATCATATAGTTCACATAACGAATCTTTCCTGAATGATGACCAAGCACAACTTCTGTCCGTTTTCTCAAGACCGTTTTGGCAGTGTTTGTGAGAACAAGAAAGCAACCCTTGTATATTAGGCTATATTTTGTAGCTCCCAAGACCTGCTGAGTTGACATAACTGGAAGTTTCTACAAAAAAATCAGAGATGCTTGCAGTAGTTTGGGAGGACGTGAAGCGATGGGAAACAAGGTCAGGGCACTTTTGATGCCATGAGAGTTCATTTTGAACCATGCCCAGAATCTCTTAACACCTGCCCCTGGATTTGCTCAATTAAACCTGGTGTAGCCAGCTCATTATACCCAATGGTAATAACGCAGGCCTTTTTTAAGTGATTCTTTCTACCCTTGAGGTCTGTGGCGGTCATGGTTTTTTGCCCTTCATTCTTTTTGCTTTCCAAGTATTTGGTAGTACAGAAGAATGCATTTGGCTTGAACTTGGAATAATTATTTTACTGCTGGGCTTCCCAAGCAAACCTAAGCTGCTTTTCCACAGAATTCTACTGGCCCTCAGATGTGTTTATCCATTCAGTCCCAAGATGGTTTGGCCAGGAGCTAGGGTCCATTGGAGGACTGGTCTTTATAGCATCAGAAATTGTCTGGGACATAATTTTCAGCAGTGAGCTGTGGAATCACAAGCATTTGGCCTCTGGGACTGCACCATCGTTTTTGATTCAAAGGGTTCTTGGGTCTATGGGTCCATATCATTCATACCTTTGGCCTCTGAGTCCCAAATGGTGAATTACTCTATTATTTTGAAAAGAATCGTATGTGGATTTTTCTTTGTAGGAAATAAAGAAGAAACGAATCACATTTTCCCCCTGTTGGGAAGTTGGACACAGTCATTTCAGTACTGTGTTCTTTGCTGTACTTTGTCACATTGTGTTTTTTTTCTGTTGAGTTTCATCAGAGCTCTCTTTACTGGGCTGTGACATTTTGAGGTACAGTCCAGTAGCAATCCAGTAGTAGTGAACAGGGAGCTGCTCTGGAAGCCTGAATAAGGCCGTGACCTTGAAGAAGTCATTTAACCGCTCTGGTCTCTCTTTTCTTGTGTTTAAAATGTGGAGGTTGAATTCTGTGTGTTCTCATGTCCATTCCTGCTCTCTGATTCAGTGTCAGGAAGTGAAAGGACTTGAGAGACTGTGGGTAAAGTTTCTAGCTCAGAATGTGTTTTGCAATGGTGCAGCAATTCTTTTAGCAACTCGGCCTTGGAGCGCTTATGTGTCTTTCTTTCCATCTCCTGCTCCTCCAGCACATAGTCTCCTTTTCTTTCACTTAGTCTGGGGAAGCTGGGACTGATTTCCTGTGGAGTTGTGGTTTGCTCGGGGACCTGCACGTGGCAGGCATGGGCTCACTCCTGCTCTCAGTTAGAGAGCTGTCCTCCCTGTAGAAGTTTGGGCTTGAGCGAGGCTGGTCTGCATGTAATGAATTATTGAGGTATTGTCTCCATGGCTGTGTCTGAAAAAACAACACGTTTTCTCTGTCCGGCTCGTGACTAATATAAATATCAGATCCCATTACGGCTTGGTAATTACCCAAGGTCTGTCCTGATGCATCCAATCAGGGCTGGAGCTTCAGTGCCTCTGAATTCTTCATGCACATTGGCCCCGGTGCCTCAGCTCGTCCTGGGGATCAAGCCGCATCTGATGACCTTCACATACTCCTTTCTGATGAGATCACTTCGCCCTTGGAGAAGTTCTCAGGTCCCACTCCAGCTGACCTTCCCTTATCCAGACAGCTTTTGCTTCTCATGCCTGGCTCTCTTTATGGAAATACACACTTGAGTACAGACTCTGCAATCAGACCCAAGTGCAAATCCTGGATCTCACATTTATTAGCAGGGCATCTCTGATTTCTTCATCTGTGAAAAGAGCATAGTGAATCCTACTTTGTAGGATTCTTATAAGGAGTGGCAATAATGGTAGGTCACACCTAGCAGATGCCTGGCATTTAGCAGGCCTCCTGTAAATGGGAGCTACTGTAGCTCCACAAAGTGGTGAGTTTATTTTCTCTTGATTCCTTCACTTTTGGTCCTTGTAGGGCACAGGCTACAACAAATAGAACTTTTGAGCCAAAAGGAATCTTGAGACCCTGAAGTTTGCTGCCTAATAACCAGTTAGAGTCAGACTGAGATTTGGGCTCATGGCTTTTGGCTGTTGCAGGGCTGGCAGATTGGGGAGGGGGAGCCAAGGGAGGCTCTGTGGCTGAGGCCCTGGCAGGATGGCTGGTGCTCTATGGTGCAGGGTCCCTGGACGAGCACTGACATTGTGGGGCCCCAGGAGTTGTAGACCTATCACAAGTGGAAGATTTGTTGGACAGGTGTGGCTGTCCACTGTCCCTTAACAGGGATGGAACAAATTCCCTCCCTATTAACCCCAGTCTGTTCCCCCAATAACGTAACAGTTTTTTTAACCAGTATGCTCTCGACCTGGACCAGTTTTAGTGTTTCCCAAAGTGTGTTCTGTGGAGCACTTGCCCTTGAAGTTACCTTGTGAAACAAAGGGAAAGTCTTGGCATACCTGAGTGCCCCTTGGAGAGCCCCAGGCTTGGGGAAATCCTTCCGTAGAGACATTGGTTAAACTGCTCTTGACCATGCTCACTTGGAGCAGCCTAGCCTAGATGTCAAGCCTCCTGTACAGTACCTGAGAGTTAGCCTGTGACCTTGGGCAAGGACTTTCCTGCTCTGTGCCTCAGTTTCCTCATCTGCAAATTGTGGATTGTAATAGAGCACAGCCCTGTGGGTTAGGTACTGTCAATAACCCTGTTTTATAGTACTTCCTAAGAGGACATAGTGACTGTAAGCCATGTGCTGGCCCTGCATCCAGCGCCCAGGGGCCTCGTCCAAATATGTATCAGGAGGAAAGGAAGAGCTGCTGCCTTAGCATTTGGCTTCAGGGAGGAAGGATTCCCAGGCCAAGGCTAAGTGGGTCCCTTCTTTGCCTCGTCACTGTCTTCTTCCCTGAATGGGGACATTCATTGGGTGCCTGGCAGCAGGAGTAAATGTTTGCCTGTTGCTTTCTCTCAGTCCTCCCCACCCCCTCACCAGGGCAGAGAAGCCTAGTGCTGAAGCAGTCAAGTTGGCCCTGGATTGCAATGCCAGGACTTCCTTCCTACAGTGGCCAGCAAGGGTGTCCCAGCTCACAGAGGCAGTGGCCATGCTAACCTGCAAGTCACGCAGCCAACCTCCACCTTCCTGGGACTCCAGAGCTTTGTAGTCCTTGGAGGGCTGCCTCCGTAGTTCCTGAGAAAAGAACTCTGTTTGTGTTGTGATGTCACAGCTTCTGGGGCCCGGCTGAGAACTCTGGTCTTCATGGTGTCACGCCTGGGGGTCAGGCAAGATCAAGCCTCCCTCGGGACCTCTGAAATCCCACAGCCATTCTGGGCACAGTAGGGAGCAAGTGTGTCTCCTTTACTTTGTTAAAATGCCTCCTGAGTGGGTGGGATCCTGGCCCTGGGCACTTGGGGAAGGAAAATTCAGGGGCCCCACCTTCAAAGGCAGGGGTGACCTAGCATTCTGGAAAGAAGGCTCAAGGAATGAACATTCAACTGGGGTAACAGATCTCTGCCTCCAAGAGCTGGATAGAGCATCTAGCTATCTAATCCTGGGGCTTCTCATACCTTAATATGCACATGAATCACTTGAGGAGCTATTAAAACACAGGTTGTGATTCAGAAAGTCCATAGCCGGGCCCTGAGGTCCTGCATTT